TATATATATATATATATATATATATATATATATATATATATATATATATATATATATATATACAAACACATACCTCACCCAATTGACACCTTAGCCCTAAACCTAACCATTAGTTTTTTTTAAAAAAAACTTGTGAGGACCAGCAAAATCTCCTCACTTTGCAACTTTTTTGCAAAAAAAAGTCAGAATTCTGAGATTAAAGTCATAGTTTCTGAGATTAAAGTCAGAATTCTGAGAAAAAAGTCAGAATTCTGAGAAGAAAAGTCGGAATTCAGAGATTAAAGTCCAAATTCTGAAATTAAAGTCCGAATTCTGAGAGAATTCTGACTGTTTTTTTTTTTGTTTGTTTGTTTTATTATATTTTATATTGAAATAAAATCTAAAAATCTGTTAATTTTAATTATTTTTTTCAATGGCCCTAATCCTCTTCCGTACTCTTTCGTATGAATGTGATGGTGAAATTGGAAAAATGCTCCTCAGTATTTCTTCTATACAAGTGCACCCCATGCCCCGACACACACACACACACACACTTTCCTAAAAACATGACCTCTATGGTGGTATTTACAGTTAAACTGTAGTTTGTCGCCACCTAGTGGACAAAGGAAACCATGTCCTTCATCGCCTTGACCAAAGGAAATAGCCTTCTTTATAACATCTATTTACAAGGATAGGTCCCTTTTATTCATTCTTTAAGGTGAATGCATCGTTTTCTTCTAAATAAACTCTAAGAAACGTTTTTTTTTTTATCACCACAAATTGACAGATTGAGTCATGCTGGGACAGTCACGTTGTACAGAGCTCGACCAAAATTACAGAAATAAAAAAATAAAGGTGATGACGTAAATATTCCTTTTTTTTTCTCTTTTCATTTCTGTATTTCAAAACTTGCCCCTCGGTGCCGGCCCACAGCCAGAGTTTCAGACCCCCGTAAAGCATCTTTAAAGCGCATCACCATGGGCAGCGGCCCCCATGATGGTGATTATTTTTAGAAGCTGTTCCACCTTCTTTCCACACACAGCCCTGCATGTTCCTGCAATTATTTATGTACTTGAAGGCCACTTGCACGACTGAATCGAGGAGAAAGGACCGCAACAACACATCTATACTGGAACTGCAACTAATAATGAGGTGAGCTTATATGATTATGATGTTTTTGGATAAAAAAAAAATAATAATAATTTTGATTAAGGTCATTAGGCAAATGAAAATCTAGCAATGGATTATATGGATAATACACTGAAAATAATGTAACCATTTCTGACATTTAATGCATCATATTTAGTTACTTTAACACAAATTTTTAATGTTAGCATTGTAGGACATAAAAGAATTGTGATAAAGTAACTAAATATGTTTAAATAGATGCCTAAAAGAGTTGCATTACATTTTTTAGTCTATCTGAATGGATGTAACGTTTAGAAAATGTTGTAGGTGCACAATTAGGCAAACAAATTGCATGTCAGTTCTTTATTCTCAAAATCAGTGAATTTTTCTTTATATTTACTTTGATTCCTTTCAGAATTCCTCTTTAGGACATTCAGTGCCTCTGAAGATAAGATCAAATTGATCTGGTCATGATCACAGAGTACCAGGCCAGTTTCCTTCCTCCAAGCAAATACACCAGCTCCACCTTAAAACTGAATAACCCTCAACATCCATGGGTCAGGGATGCCAGCATCACTTCAGTCAGGTACAGGATTTGCATGGATTTGATGTTTTAAGATAACCTTTATATATATAGGTAATTTAGACACACCTTTAAAGTCAAAGCATAACAAATATATACAGTCATGGGGAAATATTTGACCTGCCCACAAGTCTGAATGTTTGCTTTTACGGTTTGGTTGGGTCTCCGTTTAGCACACACATAAGAGGTTTTCTATTCAGGGAAACAACAAATTCCATCCCTTAACTATGAATTAGCTTTTCTTGGAGAACCACTTTCACCTACCAGATCCAGATTAGATTATAGCAAGACCTGTAGCATCAAGAAATCTATTATAACCTTTCACACCAAAAAAAGTGGCAGTGAATTATTAAAACAACTAACTAAGAGTTATTAAAACAACTGGAGTAAGATATACACTACGTAGAGTTCTAATTTAACACTAATTCTTAGTGGGATCAAATGCACTCTTAAAGTTTTACTGTAACACTGCAAATTTACTAGACTAAAATATTGCAAAAGGCTGCTCAGTGATATATTGATTTTTATTTTATTTTTTTTAACAAAATCCTCTGAAAGGTGTGTAGAAAACTAACCTGGAATGTCGCAAAAGAACCAAGTACAATGTAAAAGCTGGAGTAAATCAGTTAAAGTGTGCTTTTATGATCCCTTTGTAAGACTTGGAATATTCGACACCCCTAGGGGAAGTTTAAATCCCCTAACAACTGTTGATCAAATGAGGAACATGTTCTTTATTTTTCTTGGTCACCAAGAAATGTTCATGGACTGATTCCATCTAGTTTAAAACTTGGAGGCAGTATGATCACCTCAGGCTGCTTTGCTGCTTCAGAATCTGGAGGATTTTTTTTTTCCTTAATGGTTTTGTCCATGAATTTCACCCATCATCTAAAATATTTGTTAAACTTAAGGAGGTCAAGGCATAAACAGAAAATATATTTGCTATATGCACTTCTTCGCATTTTACTGAGGTTAAACCACTCAAAAAATAAATCTTCTGTAAAAGTCAATGCAAATGTTGGATGGTAGTTACCTCTGAATGCAAACACAACAATTTTATTGGGCTGCTTTTTCCCCCTAATCAAAACTACTGTACTCTTTTAACATACTTGGGTTATATTTAGTAATTTAATTTCTTTAAAGACATAAAACAAAAACTGAAGTTAGATGACAATCTTTTCCACAACACTGTAGGTTTAGTTAGAACCAGGCAAACAGAAATGAAATGCCAGGGATCAAGTCTTTATTTCCCCCAATGTTTAGGTGAATTAAGACTGAATCTAAAGGGTCTGAAGACGATATTCATAATATAATCCTATATACCATGCAAGCTGAAGAGCAAAACTCAGACATTTTTGAATATATGTTTCAGAAGGAGACATGTCCCCAAACAACAAACAAGCCCTTCTCCAAAGGCTGGAAGGCCGCCAACTAAAACTGACGTAACCTTTGCACAGAGGCTTTCACTCACCAAAGTGACCCAACCTTTGCGTGTGGACTACACAACTGTGTACCAAAGTAAGCAACTGGTCATTCCTCCTCCTTGCACATAAAAGATGACTAATCATTCCAATAATTGGTATTTCTCTTATGCTGTCCAGATGATTTTCGTGCTTGGAAACCAGAGAAGTCGTTTCCACTGAAAAGTAGCAAAAGCAATGAGAAGACGTTACCTGAGAAAAAACGCTCTTCAATGGATAGAAGGAAAGCCTTTGTAGTGAAAGGTCGAACACCTTTTGAGGCAATCACTACCTATAGAGTGGATTATGTCCCTTACCCAGTACAACCAAAGAGTAGCAAGGTCTTACCTGAGGATAAGGGTGGCAAAGCTCTACCAGAGACTCCTGCTGCAGGCCAAGTAAGGCTTGGACTCTTCCAGCGATTCAGGATCAGCTTAACTGACATAGAGAATCAAAACTTCCCAGCAGTCAGGAAGTTCCATTCAACAAAACTCAACAGACCAACATGTCAAGGCTTACAGCAAAGTCTGTCCACATGCCAAATTTATGAAAAGAGAACAAAACCCCTTCGGGACGGAGACAGAGCAGCAGTTGGAACAGAAACCATTGATCATAAGGCAAAGTGTGCAGAATCCATCAAGAAAGCAGTAAACATGTGCAGCTGTGATGGTATGAAGAACCACCACCCTGATGGACAGGTGGGCCCCCCAGCCTTCCAATGCTCATCCTGCATGTTCTGGTCCGTTCCACAGGTAGGAGAAATGAGCCGGCGCTTAGGAAGCAAAACATAACCTCTTTACCTTCTATCATAGGAACCCTATTTGTGTGTATGGCCCTTAAAATTAAATGAGAGTAAGACCGAGGTCATGGATTTTATCTGCACATCTGAGGTACCCTCCATTGTCTAGCCAAGTACAGGAGTTCAATTATCACAAACCTTGGTGTCAAAGTGGATGCTGATCTTCAATTTGACAGCCAGATAAAGGAAACTGTAAAGAAAGTTTCCTTCAGTTAAGGCAGTGAGCCAAATTAAAGCCCATTTTCACTAGAGATCACCTGGAGGCAATAATCCACGCCTTCATCCCTACGTGACTGGATTACCGTTATGCACTTGACACTGAAAAAAAATAAAATAAAGCAACTATTTCTGCCATTCACTTAATCATGTTTAGTTACTTTAACACATTTTTTTTTAACATGGTAGGACATAAAACAATTGTGTTCAAGTAACTGAATATGATTAAGTAGATACCAAATATGGTTGCATTGTTTTTTTCAGTGTATCAGGTTAGTGCCTCCATCATTGCTCAACTCCAGAGTGCAAAATGCTGCAGCAATTGTTTTATCTAGCACTCTTAAATATGAGCCCATTACCCCCATTTTACCCTGGCTCCCAGTAGATTTTAGGATTCATTTTAAAGTTCTTTTATTTGTTTTTAAGTAGCTTAATGGTTTTGCTCCATCTTACCTCTCTGAGTTGCTGTACCTTCATACACCCTCATGTACACTCAGGTCAGCCGATTCTATAAGTGCTTAAAACTAAACAGAAGCTCTGTGGGGGTCGTGCTTTTTCTGTGGCAGCTCCAAATATGGGGAACAACCTTCAAGTGGAAATTAAAAAGTCTACTGCTCTGATTTTAAATCACTTCTAAACACTCCTCTTTTTGTCTCGGCTTTCAAAACTATGTGAGATGATGATTTTGGCTTATGATACATTTTAATTTTGTCTTTTATGCTTTCAAGTCTTGTAAAGGTTTTATGTTGTTTCACTTTACAGTCTTTTGGTCCTTCAAGAAATTATATTTCTTTATAAATAAATGTGAATTAAATCTTTGAAACTTTAAAGGAGCTAGGGTTTCTGGAGTTCCACATATTGTCTCACTGAAAATTATTTTTATTACAGTATTTAAAAAAAGATAAGTGATATGCTGAAGTCATAAGTATAGATTCAGTACTTCTTATTTGTCTCTAAACCAAACCTTTATTTAATTTAAGGCCTGTTTACGTGTTTCTTTCACTTTGTTTACAAGTTCTCAGAAAAGGTAGTCTTCTTTCAGAACCAACATGAAGGTAGATTTGTTGTCTTATTCAATCAAAACAAGCAAAAAAAAAATTTCAATGAAAAAAAAAACTTTTTAAAGTATTTGAATGCCGATATATTTATATATGTAGTTTACATTTAAATCAGATACATTTGAAGTGTGTTTTTCTTTAAAATGCTTTTTTAGATATACATTTTTAGATTTAACTAATGTTGAAGGACATTTATGTCTTTATTATTTTATCAAAAAAGAAAAAAAAATCAATTGAAAAGTCACTAATAAAATATTTAAATTTATTTTTTGAGTTTCAACTATATTTTTTGCATTCAATTTAGTGGAAGTATTTTTTTTAATGACATAAATACCAAAATCTACCTTCATAAAGCAGGGAATGTCATTTTAATTTCTTTGCAGAAACTGATAGTCTACAAAAGCTAATACTGGTTATTTTATTTAAACATATAAATGGATTTGGTTACCTTTATATTAAAAAAAAAAAGATTTGGACTCATATTCTCTCCAGAGTTTAAATTTTGATTTTGTTACCACAAAATAAAAATCCTTTTAAGCAGATCTCAAAATATAGGAGACCAGAAACTGTAATAATGACCGAATAATAAAATGACTCAACCAAGTCTTTACTGAGGAAAATTCCTTAAAAAGAATATTTACACCTATACAGGACTGCTCTTAAAACAATGGAGAAAAAAAATAGTTTTAGAATCATCATTAAGCTTGGCGGCTTCCAGGTTTATGACGAAGGCTCCAGTGCAACCACAAAAATAAAAAAAAGACACAAAGAGCACAACTGGACTTTTCCATTTCAGCCAATCAGGGAGCACTGCAGGATGTCAGTCTTCTTCAAAGCGGATGTGCTTGTTGGCCTCCTTGGCTCGGGCAATGATGATTTTCTCAGCTTTGGAAATGAGCTAAAAAAAATAAAGCGAGAAGAAAATTAAAATGAAATGCAGGACAAAGAGCTTGGAGCTGCACTGCCTATAGGATAATTTTATGTGATACACAAATTGGATTCTAAATCCTAGAAACAGTGGCGCCTCCAGAAATGTTTCATAGTGGTGGCCAGATGGGGCCACTAAAAACCTTGGGGTGGCACACTGACACTAAAAGCCATAATTTTAGGGTTTGAATCAACTATTGTGGTAAACCTGCCTGTAGAAACCATAAAGATTTAAGTAAACACCTACTCAGATCTGGGTTTATTGTGTTATTTTTAATGTTACATCCCTGGCTGTGCATAATGGGATGAAATGCTAAACTGAAGCTACTACAATTTACACTGGCCACACTATCGTGGAGCCACTACCTAGAATTAGAACAATGACAACAGCTTCCAGAAGAAGGTTTACACCCTTTTTTGTTAGCCCACCTATTTCTGTAGCCGAGGTTCACATTTTGTGGGAAAACATTTAATTTTAAATTAAATTAACTGGAGCTGATCTATTTAACTATGTGGTCAATCAACACAAATAAGTGCATAATGAAAAATTTTTTTCCCCCCTAATTGTAGTAAAAAAATATGTTTACAAAATAAAAATCTAATGAGCATGGGTTGTACTTTTCACCCCACTGTCGTTAATACTTTGCAACACTGTTCAAGCTCAGTCAGACTGAACATCAACCTTCAGGTTCTGCTGCAGATTTGTATTTATACTTCCATCTAGATTGAACTGGATCACAAGAATGTTTTGACCCAAATTATTCAACAGCAGCAGATTTCGTGTAACACTAACTTTTGATTGAGTTTGAGGATTGTTATCGATTTAGGACCATCTTTTCGTCATATTGTCCCAACTGAGCAGGAAATCTCTGCAGCTTCTCCAGAGTTACCAGGACCTCTTGTCTCGCCTCTCCTATCAGCTAATGTGGAACATTGTGTCTTGGAAGGTGTGTGGCTGTCTTTCAGAGGATTAACCTGACTCTGTAACAAACTCAGGATATTGTTTATAACCTGAACTGAGCTTTAAACTTTTTGACATCTTTATCCCTGATCTGTCTTCCTAATGGTGTTTGCTTACTAATGTTCTCTAACAAACCTCTAATGCTTTCACTAAACAGCTAGGATGTGGTTAGAAGAAATTACACACACATTGTGACTATAATTTACTGGTTACAGTATAGCTACAGAAAGTTGGTTGCCTTGGTTATCTTGTTAATGGATTAATACAAACTAGCAGCCCTTGTTTTTCAGATTTTTATTTCTGTAAGTTAAAAATTAGGCATCACTTTTCTCTCACTCACTAATTATGCACTGCCCTGCCATTACAAAAAAAATATATAGAATAATGGCTCGTTAACAGCTGCGATGATCTGAACCAACTAAATGTAATATTGATTGTGACCAAATGATTGAATTTTTGGAAATCATTATTTGGCTTCACCTTTTCTGTGCCTCGCTTCTTCTCCCTGGGCCGATTCAGTTTGACCTGGCGGTCCACCAAAATCTTCTGCCAGTACCGTTGTTCATGGTCACCTTTTACACAAAATGAAATCCAAAATAACAATAAGAATACAAACTCAAAACATTTTTTTTTGTGTGTTTTAGAACAAGCTATGTCTTCAAACACACTTCAGCTAAAATAAATGAATATAATGTGTTTCTCTAGGTTAAAACCTTGCTACCTTTAAGAATCTCAAGCTTCCAGCCGTGCTCTCTTAGCAGCTGCTCCTTAGCGTTGCTGATGGCGGTAGCGTCCTCTGGAGAACGAAAGCGGACGTGACCTTCTACATCTCCCTCCAGGATGTCAACATAAGCAACTGGAGCTACTTTGGACAAGGCATCCTATACAACAGAAGAAGAGATAAATCAGCACATTACTACACAGAACCAAGATTATTTAAACTGAATTTGTTTCAGTGAATTAAAAGAGCTTCACCTTTTTGATAGAATTTTATGATTTAAATGCATATTTTTGTTACTTTTCTACGATTGTGCTTTACATCTCATATAAAAAAAAAAAATCAAAACAGACTTTATAAGAAAATAAAATTTAAAATAGATTTTTTCCTCACACTAAAATGTTACTCTATACAGAGCCACAGAAGACTACCATCTTCACAGATCATCGACAGCCTCCACAAGGAGGGTTACCTATGGAAGAGGATTAGGGCCACTGAAAAAAAAAAAAAAAGTTAACTAATTTTTTTATTTTATTTCAGTTTAATAAAAAAAAGTCAGAATTCTGACTATTATCCATGATTTCTGACTATTATCTCAGAATTCTGACTTTTTCCCCATAATAAACTGAAATAAAATTTAAAAATCAGTAATTTTTTTTTTTTTTTTTTTTCCAGGTGCCCTAATCCTTTTGTAGTCAGCCACAAAAACTCATTGCTAAAGAAGCTAGCTATTCAGAGTTCTGCATCCATAAATGTAAATGAAAAGTTGAGTGGAAGGAAAAAATATGCTAGCCCTTTGACCGGACAAAGATGATGTGAAGGCTTGTAATGCTATCAGCAGTGATACTGTACATGCCAAGCCACAAAACACTGTGTTAAAAATCAATTTTCACTTCCTTTTACTTTACTTTGCTAACAAAAAAAATTATTGTTTTTTCATTAGCCATCAGCCATGATTTTCAAAACAACAGAGATGAATACCTGAAACATGTTGATGTGAATTGATAGAAGTTTCCACTTGGATGAATTACTAAATAATCGTTAGCTTCGCCACAATTATCAAATACCGTAATTTTCGGACTATTAGCTTCACCTGAATATAAGCCGCAGAAGCTAAATTGCATGATTTGTACATATACAAGCCGCACTGGACTATAAGCTGCAGTTTTTTTATGTTTAATATCCGTCTTTCTCGCCGTCTTTCTGTCTCATACCACTCGCGGTAGAAGTCTGCTT